TATATCTTTATGTTTGAAGCCTGAAATGTGGCAAAAGGTTGAAAAGTTCAAGGGGGCCGAATACTTTCGCAAGGCACTGTATAGTGTGGTATGGGATGTAGTTTATTAAACCCTGAAACCAAAGCCTTTCTTTCTGTGGCAGTGGAAACTAACTAAAACGAACTCTCTCTCACCCACCCGCCTGTCTGCGCTCTCTCTCACTTGATTTCATTTAGTCAGATACATTCATTAACAGCCTTCTTTTTCCAGCATTCCAGCATGGAAAGCAACCAAGGCTCCTAACAAAGTCATCCATACATAACCTTGTGTATACTCTAATAGAGGATGAAAGCAATAAATTCTCCCTAAGATTCCAGGTGCAAACAATTAATTGATTTCCACATGAGAATGCACTTCTCTGAATAGGATGATCCTGCCCCATGGCGACTCAATCCTACTGTACATCTCCATAAGCTCTGCTACAAGGAGATAATGGGTTGGATGACCATTGTTAAGAAACACTTGCTTATCCATTCGGCAGTTAAACTCATTCAGCTCGTCTGGTAGAGATAAGTCTGCTGTTGCGGGTGGGACTTCCTTTTGTAGTTTGTAATAGCTTAAGGTTGTTATCGAATTGCAGTTCTAGCCCTTTCCTGGCTTTAAAATGACTGATTGCTTTGTAGTCCACAATGTTTCCATTTTTATAAGCCTATATTATAATATATATTCATGTAAAAGATTTCCCTGAGCTGACAGCATCAAGCAGATTGCTGGGAAATGGTCACAATTCTGTGATTGATATCTGGACTGGAATCTTGAAAAGTCTGAGGTGCACAGAAGGAATGTTAAAGTTTACGAGGATGCAATACCAAATACCAAATGCTTTCCAGAGCAAATAAATTCTTACCAAAAAGAATGTTTTGACTATTAACTGAAGTTTGTGAACAAACTGGATATTGCAGACTTGCTTCTTTCCTCAGATTCGGCACAGGTGTGGATGTTATAAGGAAGGATCAGATAGAAATTACATTCTCAAAATTCAAAGGACTAATGCGACATTGACCATTTCACATTCATGGGTGTTCAATGGAATTGCATGAGAACTATCAAAGTTTTCCAGAATTTTGAACCAAGCTTTTAGGTGTTCTTAAGTCTGGCGTTTGGGTTATGGGCATACTCTAAACTAAAAAGGGGCACTAGATGTTAAGTAGTGTAGGCTGAACATTATTATTGTGCTATTTGTTAAATAACATCCTTTAAATTCCATTAATGTTTTAGAATTATACAGCATGTATATTTAGTTTTACTGTATACTTAACAACTTTGAAATATGACAAAGTCTGATAGGTGTTATTCTGAGTGTTATGCTGACAGTCTTACTTTTGATGATTAGAATTCAAGATTACTATCTTTTAGAACAGTGGTAATTTTGGTACTAAGGTTGCAGCAGAGAGGTAGAGAGAAAGTGGAAGAGAGGCATAAAAATGGAGGTGAAGAAAAAATACAGTAGTTAATGGGAAAGATATAATGATAGAGATGGGGTAGCTGAATAGAAGATATGGAAATGGCTAAATGGTTTTGAACAGATCATAAAAGTTTTGAACAGATCGTGAAAAATTTGATCATGGCCAAAGTTAAGGATCAGCTACACCCATTACAACTAAGCTATTGTCAAACTTTGGTCTTGATCTTAATCTTGTCAACTGGGTTAGAGATTTCCTAACAGACAGAACCCAGAGGGTGAGAGTCCACAATGTTGTATCCATCAAAAGGCATTCTTCAACCGGGTCCCCCCAAGGATGTGTATTGTCTCCTTTACTCTTGTCCTCTACACTGACGATTGCAAGAGCTATCACCACTCAAGACACATAATCAAATTTGCTGACGACGCTGTCATTGTTAGCCTGCTTCAAGCAAACAAGTGGAGCCACGGACCAATTGTTGATGAGTTTGCCAACTGGTGTGAACAAAACTTCCTCAAGCTACATGTGTCCAAGACCAAAGACATGATAAGTGACTTCAGGAAATACACCCACACTCCCACCCAAACCTACATTGGTGGAGATTCAGGGGAGCAAGTAGAACAATAGAAGTGCTAGGGGACTGTCCTGGACTCCAAGCTTATTTTTGAAGCCAATACTGACCTGATCCTCAGAGAAGGTCAACAGTGTCTTTTTTTCTTAAGGAAGCTTAAGTATTTTAACGTCGATGATTTTTTGTTGGTTTTGTTCTACCGGTCCTTTCTTGATTCTGTTCTAACTTTTACCCTGATCTGCTGGTTTGGTAACCTGAATCTGAGAAGCAAGAACAAACTGGGCAGACTTGTGAAAATATGTCAGAAGGTCATTGGTGCTGACCTTCCAGCCCTCTGCTCTGCCTATCATCCACATGCTTTGCATACAGCAAAATCCATCTGGGATGATCCTTCACAACCCTTATTTAATAATTTCCAGTTACTCCCATCAGAACATAGATACTGACCCCCCCCATCAACAAAAACAAGAAATGTAAGTTCTCATTCATACCTGTAGCCATATCCTTACCTAACTCTTGACCTTCAATGCAAATATGTATGTATATTGTTGTTCCTGTCTTTTTTTTTCTTCTGTCTGTCTGTACACCAACACTGCTGCTGTAAAACAACTTGCCCCAGGGATAATAAAGACTCTCTCTTTCAAATATTGTCATGAAGAGTACTCCAAAGAGAACAGGAGACAATTGGAAAAGAAGGCTTGGAGGAAGAACAACAAGAATTAACAGGCAGATTGGAATAGAAGGTTTCAGTGTGATCTTCATTGAGAGGAGAGCGGGTGACGAACAGCTCAACATTCAATTAAATTCAATTTATTTTTATATAGTGCCTTTCACAACAAGGATGCCCCGAGGTGCTTAACAATGCAGGTAACCATATTTTTTC